TCCAGATATCTACCTCTACTTCGAAAATTCTTACTACAGGCCACAGCAACGCGTGGCAGGGCACAGCTAGTATATTTATATAATATATTATATGGAATAGCCAGTTTTTGTTTTGGTTTATTTTATGAATCCTCCCAATAGAAAATGCATAAGGGGGTGGGTGAACTACAGTTCCCAAAATCGTGTGTCAATCCTCAAACTCCACCTGTATTCACAGTTGGTCATGTTGGTTCTGTGCGCCAAATTTGATCCAGGGTTCATAATGCTCTCTGGGTGCAGGGTGAACTACAATTCCCATGTTTTGGAACACCCAAGTATAAGAATCATTTGGCAGGAGTTATTGAAAGTAACAATAAGAGCAGGACACGCGGTGATCGCTAGATGGCGGAAAGACAAATAGAAATGGACGTTAAGTAATTAAAATGATTATTTGTAGACATTACGGGAATTATGACTAAGCAAGTAACAAGAATGAACAAACAAAAGGACTTTACAAATAGATGGAAGGTCTACTTCAACTAGGTGAAAAATGGAGGAGCCATCGATCACATCAAAGAAAAAATACGAAGACGTTACCAGTGGCTGGATCTGCAAGATTAATAGAAATATACTGTGGTTGGGGAGGGAAAAAATATAGAAAGATTTGGAAGGTAAATTTTAAAGAAAAGGAAGTACTATTGTTACAATTATGATATTAAAATTCTTTAAAAAAACAAAAACTACAATTCCCATATGCCAAGGGCAGTTACCCACAAAGTCCACTTGTATGTTCTGTTACATATCGCCGGCCACACACATACATACAGATATTATGTGTGTGTGTGTGTATATATATATATATAATTAAGTCCCATCCATGGGAGGAACGTGGGATAAAAATAAATAAATAATAGAGTTGGATGCGACCTGGTGGGTCATCCAGTCTAATCCCATTCTGCCACAAAGCAAGAAAATTGCCTTTAAAGCCCCCCTCCCCCCGTCCTGACAGATGGCCATCCAGCCTCTGCTTAAAAGCCTCCAGAGAAGGAGCTTCCATCACGCTCCAGGGCAGAGAGTTCCATTGTTGAACAGCTCTCACGGTCAGGAAGTTCTTCCTAATGTTCAGGTGGAATCTCCTTTCTTTCCTGTAGTTGGAAGCCATTGTTCTGTGTCCTAGTCTCCAGGGCAGTAGAAAATAAGCTTGCTGTCTCCTCCCTATGACTTCCCCTCACCTCTTGATCCCTGGCCTGCATCATGTCTCCTCTCAGCCTTCTCTTCTGCAGGCTAAACATGCCCTGCACTTTCAGCCGCTCCTCATAGGGCTTGTTCTCCAACCCTTGATCATTTGAGTCACACTTCTCTGGACACATTCCAGCTTGTCAACATATCCTGTCAATTGCAGTGCCCAGAACTGGACACAGTGTGATTCCAGGTAAAGTGGTTTGACCAAAGCAGAAGAGAGGGCTAGCGTGACTTCCCTGGATCTAGGCACTAGACCATGGAGGCCAAAATCCCATTGGCTTTTTAAGCTGCCGCATGACATTGTTGGCTCATGTTCACCTTCCTGTCCACGAGGACTCCAAGATCTTTTTCACATACACTGCTGTCGAGCCAGGCATCGTCCCCCATTGTGTATCTGCATTCATTTTTTTTCTACCTAAGTGGTGTATCTTGCATAATAGGTAAAGGTTTTCCCCTGACATTAAGTCCAGTCGTGTCTGACTCTGGGGGTTGGTGCTCATCTCCATTTCTAAGCCGAAGAGCAGGCGTTGTCCATAGACACCTCTAAGGTCATTTTGCCGGCATGACTGCATGGAGCACCGTTACCTTCTCACAGATACCAATCTTAACTACCTATTTTCTGGGTTCCTTCGGTATCCACAGACCCTCGTGTGTGTTTTTAACCTGTCTGTACTTTATTATACAAATGTTTTGGGAGAAGATTTCCCAAAGCCTTGCAATTACCCCTTTACCCACTCGGAAGTCCAGCCAACTGTCTTCCTGGGCTTCATTTGCATGAAACTGGATTCAATCACCCTTTACCTTTCAACTAGTCCATCCCTACTAGCCCCATAGAACGCCAGCCGTGCCAAGGACAACAGGATCCTGAGATATGGGCCGCCTGTCCTTTGCGCAGCTACTTGGACATACAATGACACTCATCACCTGGCATGGCAGTTCCCAAAGATGAGAAGGACATGCCCCGTTGACACACAATAGCATTTCCCGTTTCCCAGCAACTTGCCACTTAATCCTATCCAGCTGGACAATACTTCTGCCTTGGACTGTTTGGATACTTAGCGCCCGCAGCACTGCACCCATGTACTGGGGACTCAGATTGCTATCATTTCAACAATATTGTTTATTTATTGATTTACTATATTTGTATACCGCCCTTCTCAGCCCTCAGGCGACTCGGGGCGGTTTACAGAGGCAATGATTCGATGCCCAAGAACTTCATAAAACATTAATACATAGTATAAAACCAAACAAATGTAATAAAAACATAAGACATTTGTGTCTCTTAATTAAAAACATCCATCTTGTTGTCCAGTCATTCCAAGTTCCTATGTCTTTTACATTGCATTTTCAAACGCTTGATTGAACAGCCAGGTCTTGACTCTTTTCCGGAATGTTAAGAGGGAGGGGGCCGATCTAATGTCTCTAGGAAGGGATTTCCATAGCTGAGGGGCCACCATTGAGAAGGCCCTGTCTCTCGTATTTGTGACGCAGGCGGGATCAAGAGCAGGGCCTCCCCGGGCAATCTTAAAGTCCTAGCAGGTTCATAAGGGGAGATGCATTCGGACAGGTAAGTTGAGCCAGAACCGTTTAGGGCTTTATAGGCCAAAGCCAGCACTTTGAATTGTGCTTGGTAGCAGACTGGCAGCCAGTGGGAATGGCGCAACAGAGGAGTTGTATGCTCTCTGAGCGCCGCTCCTGTTAGTAACCTGGCTGCCGTCCGTTGGACCATTTAAAGCTTCCGGACAGTCTTCAAAGGCAACCCCACATAGAGCGCGTTGCAGTAGTCTATACTGGATGTAACCAGAGTGTGGACTACCTTGGCCAAGTCAGGCTTCCCAATGTATGGGTGCAGCTGGTGCACAAGTTTTAACTATGCAAATGCTCCCCTGGTCACTGCCGAAACCTGGGGTTCCAGGCTCAGGAATGAGTCCAGGATCACACCCAAGCTGCAAACCTGCGCCTTCAGGGGGAGTGTGACCCCCATCCAACACAGGCTGTAACCCTATGCCCTGTTCAGCCTTACGACTGACCAGGAGTACCTCTGTCTTGACTGGATTCAATTTCAATTTGTCAGCCTTCATCCAGACTGTCACAGCAGCCAAGCACCGGTTCAGGATATGAACAGCCTCCTTAGTAGCAGGTGGGAAGGAGTGAGAGAGTTGGACGTCATCTGTGTACAGATGACACCGCACCCCAAAATTCCGGATGATCTCCCCCAGCAGCTTCATGTAGATGTTAAACAACATGGGAGACAGTATTGAATCCTGAGGAACCCAACAAGACAATGGTTGTGGGGTTGAACAGGTGTCTCCCAGTAACACCTTTTGGGTTCGACCCTCCAGGAAGGACCGGAGCCACTAGAAAACAGTACCTCCAAGACCCATTCCTGCAAGGCATCCCAGAAGGATACCGTGGTCGACGGTATCGAAGGCCGCGGAGAGGTCCAGCAGAACCATCAGGGACACACTCCCCGTCTAGCTCCCGGCGTAGATCATCCACTAAGGCGACCAAGACTGTCTCTGTACCATGTCCCGGCCTAAAGCCAGACTGTCAAGAACAATAAAGGTTCTTGGGACCTGATGGTCCTTATTGTTTGTTCCTTGCTGGGACCTCATAATCTATTCAAGACTCATTTCAGCACCTTTGTCTTCTGGACTGCCCGACCCCTCGTCAGCCATTGGACAGCGTAAATCTACATCGAGAGTGAGGAATGCTCTCTGGTTGGCCAGCGGAGACTGCAATCCCACCTCTGCAGGGAGTCCTCCCTGACATCATCAGCACCCAGCCAATCACGACGAAGCGGGCTCCAGATGGGGGCAGGACTAAGAAATACAAAGACCACACTGAATAAAAATGCTTCTTTTTGACTGCAATGGATCTCGGCTTACTTTGGTGGATTACCGCAGGCTGGCATCACGATCATCTGATTGAATCAATATTTTTGAAGTGGCGGATTAATAGCCCTTGAGACCACCCGTCACTGCCCTGGGTTCTCAGCTTGTCCTGGCACACTCAAAAACAGTCTCAGACAGCTCAAAAAGATAAGATTTCTTTATTCACAATTGTGAAGACGCAGAGTATCAGCTGTAACTCAGCTCAAAGTGGACACCATACACAGACAAAACATGTTCCAGAGGGATTTAAATATCTACTTGTAAACATCTCAGGTCACAGCTCTGCCTAGGTCAAGTTTCCCATATTTGGTCATGTTATAAAATCTTCCACTTTCATTGGCTTAATCTCACCTCTGCATTCTACCAAAATAGGCACTACAAAAGACAAACAAAAAGACACAATACGTATTGCTCCATCCCGAATGGGAAGGGGTATTCCTGCTTTTTCTAACTTTGGTTCCTTCACTTTGGTGGCTTCCTCTCCAACTTGGTGAGCTTTATTTCGAGAAATCAGGCTTCTTCTCACTCGCCAGGCGCATGGACTCACAAGAATGGCTGATGGCCGGTGCCGGTTGCCGCTTATTGGATTCGGTATCTGCACCTCAGGTTCTGGCATCTGTGGCTTGGATCTCACTATCCGCAGCTCTATTTCAATAATATATTATAACAGTGTTTCTCAACCTGGGGGTCGGGACCCCTGAGGGGGTCGCGAGGGGGTGTCAGAGGGGTCGCCAAAGACCATCAGAAAATGCAGCCCCTTTCTGTTCGTCATGGGGGTGTTGTGTGGGACGTTTGACCCAATTCTATGATCGGTGGGGTTGAGAATGCTCTTTGATTGTAGGTGAACTATAAATCCCAGCAACTACAACTCCCAAATGTCAAGATCTATTGTCCCCTAACTCCACCATTGTTCACATTTGGGCATTTTGAGTATTCATGTCAAGTTTTGGGCATATCCTGATCCATCATTGAGTCCACAGTGCTCTCTGGATATAGGTGAACTACAACTCCCAAACTCAAGGTCAATGCCCATCAAACCCTTCCAGGGTTTTCCATTGGTCATGGGAGCCAAGTTTGGTTCAAATCCATTGCTGATGGAGTTCAGAATGCTCTTTGATTATAAGTGAACTATAAATCCCAGCAACTACAACTCCCAAATTACAAAATCAATCTTCTCCAACCCCACTAGCATTCACATTTGGGTGTATTGGGTATTTGTGCCCAGTTTGGTGCAGTGAATGAAAATACATCTTGCATATCAGATATTTACATTATGATTTATAACAGTAGTAAAATGACTGTTATGAAGTAGCAACGAAAACAATATTATGGTTGGGGGTCACCACAACATGAGGGACTGTATTAAGGGGTCACGGCATTAGGAAGGTTGAGAACCACTGTATTATAACGTCTTATTCTGCATCCTAAATAATACCACGCAGTGGCTGATTGCAGTGCAAGGAGGGCTTCTTTATTGGGGGATCATGCCTTTGTTCCTCTTGCGGTCGGCCATTACGCGCCGGTTGTGATTGGCGCGGGTCGCTTTGGCTGCCTCCTTCCTCCGTCGCTCTGGTGCCGCCTCCTTGCTTGGGCCTTTCCCACTGGCCGACGAAGGGTCCATACGTGGCCTTCACAAAGAGAAAGATATATATGTGTGTGTGTGTTATCTCCCTGAAAATATTATTGCATAACACTGTATAATTTATTTAAATATATTATCATTATATAATAATAGTAAAATAATACAATATGATTATTATAAAACATATTAAAATCATACATTATTTAATAATAAAATATTTAAATAATATTTTTATTTAAAATATTATTTTATTATTATTATTTATACAGTGGTGTATAATAATAAAACTCAATATATAATTGTATTAAAATATAATATTAAAAGCTGTGTATAATAATACAATATTTTAAAATAATACAGTATTGTATAACAGTAAAATAATGCAATATAATAATTAAAATAAATACAGTATTATATAATAATGCAATAATACAAGATTATGTAAGAATAAAACACTAAAATAATACAGTGGTGTATATTAATAAAATTCAATATCTAATAATAATAAAACAATATATTTTCAAGTACGGTATTATATAATAAGATATAATATTAAAGGAACACAGTAGTGTATAATAATAAAATAATAAAATATTACTATTTTATAATATATACGTATATGCATAAGTATGTGTGTGTGTGTGTGTGTGTGTGTATATATATATATATATATATAATTTGCTCACCCTTTCCTGGCCAGGAAGGCCATGCGTCGGGCCTCGGCTCGCTCCCTTAAAACAGCCGGATCCTGCACAAAGTGGTCCTGGGAAATTAGGAAATAAAACTTATATTACATCACATTGTTAAATAATATGTATGTATTATATTAAATGTAATATGTTTATTATATTATTCATCATATATTATTGTTTACAATAATATGTATCTACACAATATAATATGTTCCATTTATAATGATATTTTGTTATATTTATTATAAATATAATAATATATCATAATAAATATAATATATCATAATAAACATAACACACAATAAAATGTGGCATTTTATTGTGTGTACCCGGTGATGTCCAGGTTATTAGAAAAATGCACTGTTTGTTTTGGGGTGTTAGGTAGTATCATTTAGTTCATTAGTAACACTATTTATTAGGAAAAAGCCACTCTGATTTTTGTTTTGGGGTGTTAGGTAATATCATTTAGTTAATTAGTAACACTATTTATTAGGAAAAAGCCACTCTGATTTTGTTGTTGATGAATGCTCCCATTAGAAAATACATAATGATGTGGGTGAACTACAATTCCTAGAATTGTGGGTCTATCCTCCCCAAACCAGGCCTGTATGCACAGTTGGCCACGTTGGGTGTGTGTGCCAAGTTTGGTCCAGATCAGTTGTCAGATGGGTTGAGTGTTCTCGGGATGCAGGTGAATTACAACTCTCAAAATCAAGGTCAATTCCCATAAACCCCTACATTTTGGGAATTGCAGTGTCTTCCCTCACACCTGAACCAAATTTGGCACACTGACTCCCTATGACGCACTTTCTGTCTTGGTGAGGGTTGGGGGAGGATGGACCACAGATAATGCGATTTGCAGTACCTTTACCCACTTCCACAGACTACTGCGACCCCGAGTGGCAGGCCTGGACCACACTTGGGACACAAAACCCCCATGACCAACTGAACATACTGGAGGGGTTTGTGGGGGGACTGACACACCTGCGTGGGAGTTGTCGTTCATCCTGAGAGCATTCCGAAGCTCCCAATGGAACACACGTGGCACACAGAACCCTGATGGTCATTTAGTTAATTAGTGTTGCTAATTGACTAAATGATACTACCTAACACCACAAAACAAACAATGCCTTTTTCAAATAACCCGTGCATCACTGGGGTACCCAAGCTAGTAATAAAATATTATAACATATTTATTATATCATATATTTATTCCCATGAATACTTTGGGCCCCTCCTGTTCCTCTTCCTCCTCGTCTTCCTCCCCTTCCTCTTCCTCTTCCGGTTCCATTCCCTGTCCTTTATGCTGCTTGGACCTCAGAACCTGGGGGATTGTGAACGGCCTGTGAGAAAGAGAGAGAGAGAGAGAGATAAAGATGACCTCACTTCCTGTTTGGCGGTGACCTCACTTCCTGCCTGGCGGTGACCTCACTTCCTGCCTGTCAGTGACCTAACCTGCGGTTGAGGAGCTCGTCGTGAGGGTCGTCGGCGTCGTTGGCGCCCACCTGGTTCCCATCGTAGGTGTCATCGTACTCGTCCTCATAGGAGGGTGAAACTTCCTGCCAGGGCGGGACTTCCTCTGCCACGACCGAGTAAAGGCTGTAGCGGTCCCTCTGTGCCTCCAGGAAGTTCTTGTCTCCTAGAAGCTGGCGGGTGCTCGTCCTCTCTGACCTGCAACCATCATCATCATAAAATATAAAAATATAATATATAATATTGAATGTAATAATAATAAGAATAAATGTAAAATAAAATAACATATAAAATGTAATACTAATATATGTAATAGAAAATATAAATATAAAATAAACATAATAGAATAATAAACTAATTTATTTATTATTTATTTCACAGTTTTCTATACCGAGCTTCTCAACCTCATTGAGGGACTCAGCCCGGTTTCCAGCCATAAAAAACATATACACTCATTAAAATATCATATATCACAATTACAAAACAACTTTAAAAACACTATATATAAAACTACAGTGGTCAGTCGTCCTATTAAGATGGATCTACATCAACTTCCATCCAGGGTCCTATGGTGTTGTCTCATTCATCGAAGGCCTGACTCCACAGCCACATCTTCACCCGTTTCCTAAATGTTAGGATGGATGGGGCAGTTCTGGCCTCCAGAGGGAGAGAGTTCCAAAGTCGCGGGGCCACCACCGAGAAGGCCCTGTCCCTCGTCCCCACCAGGCGCGCTTGCGAGGCCGGTGGGACCGAGAGCAGGGCCTCTCCAGATGATCTTAGTAATCTTGATGGTTCGTAGGGGAGAATACGTTCGGAGAGGTAAACAGGGCCAGAGTCGTTTAGGGCTTTATAGGTCAACACCAGCACTTTGAATTGTGCTCGGAAGCTAATTGGCAGCCAGTGGAGCTGGCGTAACAGTGGAGTGGTGTGCTCCCTGTACCCAGCCCCTGTTAGTAATCTGGCTGCCGCGCGTTGGACTTGCTGCAGCTTCCGGGCAGTCTTCAAAGGCAACCCCACGTAGAGAGCATTGCAGTAGTCTAAGCGGGATGTAACCAAAGCGTGTACTACCGTGGCCAAGTCACAGTAGTGACTAGTATAGGAAATATAAAATAATAAATATAATACATAATATATAAAATATAAAAATAAAACATAATTATAAAATATAAGTAATATAAAATATAAAAATAAAATATAATACTAATATGTAGTACAAATATATATAACATAAAGCATAAATATATGTAATATTACAATCTATATAAATAAAAATGTAATGTTCGTTTGTGGGATTAACAGAACTCAAAAACCACTGGACGAATTGACACAAAATTTGGACACAAGACACCTAACAACCCAATGTATGTCCTTCACTCAAAAAATTGATTTTGTCATTTGGGAGTTGTAGTTGCTGGGATTTATAGTTCACCTACAATCAGAGCATTCTGAACCCCACCAATGATGGAATTGAACCAAACTTGGCACACAGTTCTCCCATGACCAACATAAAATACTGGAAGGGTTTGGTGGGCAGTGTCCTTTGGTTCACCTACATCCAGAGATCACCGTGGACTCAAACAATGATGGATCTGGACCAAACTCTACATGAATACTCAATATGCCCAAACATGAACACTGGTGGAGTTTGGGGAAAATAGAATCTTGACATTTGGGAGTTGTAGTTGCTGGGATTTATAGTTCACCTACAATCACAGAGCATTCTGAACCCCACCAACGATAGAATTGGGCCAAACCTCCCACAGAACCCCCATGTGGGTCGCAGCAATGCGTGTCAGGGGACAGCTAGTATCTATATAAATAATAAGAAAATATAATAAAAATATAATAATAATGTATAATAATATATGTAACATAAAATATAATATAAAATAAATAATAATGTATACTAATAAATAAATAATATATAATAATAATATATAACAATGTATAATAATAATATATAATAATAGTAATAGCTGACCGCTTGCCCTTCTGGATGCGGGAGACGTCCACCCGGTCAGTGGAGAAAACGTCGAAGGCGTCATCCTGGAAGATGTTGTGTCGTGACCTCAGCAGGGGGGTTGGTTCGGGGGTTGTGAGCCTGGAAGAAGGAAAAAGAAATCAAGATGGCTGCCACCGCGACCAGATGTGTTGCGGCCATCTTGGGCCACTGTTTCCATTGGACCCAGAACCAAGCTGATTATTTATTATCATTATTATTATTACTACCTGTCCAGCTTCCCTTCTAAAAGGTGATGGATGACCTTTTCCACATTGTAGTCATATTCCCGCAAACAGGAAACCACATAATCATCCGCCAAATCCGGGAGGAGGTCCTTGACCTGCGAGATCAGTGAGGTCAGCTCCGCTCCTGTGACCCTGGGAGCATGTGCTCCTAAGACCTGTGGGAACAGGTGAGAGAGATTCAATATTGTAAAATGAACCAGCAAACTATTGATCTATTCGCCTGCTCTCTATAATAGGCAAGATTTATGCCAAGCTTCTCCTGAATAGGTTAGAGTTATGGGCCAACCAAAACAACATAATTGGCCCCGAGCAAGTGGGATTTTCCAAGGGAAAATCAACATTAAATCAGACCCACGTCTTGGCCCATTTAGCCAACAAATACTCTAAAAATAGCCCTAATAAACTAAGCGTGGCCTTCTTGGATCTCAAGGGGGCTTTTGATTCCGTGAACAGAGAAAAGTGTATTGTCGAAGGCTTTCATGACCGCAATCACTGGGTAGTTGTGAGTTTTCTGGGCTGTCTGGCCATGTTCTAGAAGCATTCTCTCCTGACATTTCACCTGCATCTATGGCAGGCATCCTCAGAGGTTGTGAGGTCTGTTGGATAGATAAAAACTCCAACCATTATTCAAGTCAAAAAAGAAGTGCCATTAAAGTCCTGGCAGACCGTGCAAAAAGAATCTGCAAACCCCACCTCCTCCAAGGGGAACTGAAACCCCTAATCTGGGCTCTACAGGCCAATGGATACTCCACCACAGACATCAGAAGAGCTGCAAGACCGAGAACAAGCCATGAGAGTCAAGACAAAGATCCACCCAGAGGAAAAGTGTTCTTGCCATACATCAAGGGAACCACTGACTGGAACAAGTTGGCATTATATGTTGTATGGGGGTTCTGTGTGGGAAGTTTGCCCCAGTTCTGTTGTTGGTGGGGTTCAGCATGCTCTTTGATTGTAGGTGAACTATAAATCCCAGTAATTACAACTCCCAAATGTCAAGGTCTATTTCCCCCAAACTCCATCTGTGTTCATATTTGGGCATATGGAATATTCGTGCCAAGTTTGGTCCAGATCCATCATTGTTTGAGTCCACAGTGCTCTCTGGATGTAGGTGAACTACAACTCCAAAACTCAAGGTCAATGCCCACCAAACCCTTCTAGAATTTTCTGTTGGTCATGGGAGTTCTGTGTCCCAAGATTGGTTCAGTTCCATCATTGGTGGAGTTCAGAATGCTCTTTGATTGTAGGTGTGCTATAAATCCCAGCAACTACAACTCCCAAATGACAAAATCAATTTTTGAGTGATCTCCTTGGGTTAGTAGTTGTCTTGTGGCCAAATTTGGTGGCAATTGGTCCAGTGGTTTTTGAGTTATGTTAATCCCACAAACGAACATTACATTTTTATTTATATAGATATATAGCATCCCTACTTCGGGGATTTTCACTTATCGCGGGTGGTCCTGCAACGTATATTCACTACCAAAGCCCCAATAACTCTTTGACCCAACTCACCCTGAGTGAAGTCCACCACTCAAAATGGTGTACAAAAATCCTGGCAAAGATCGGTGAATGTGATAGTGACTTCTTGAATTTGCTAACTGTCACTGAGATCTTTACCCTCATTAAGAAGAGGGCTTATTGGATTGGATTTAATATTATAATTATATTGATTATATAGAAATAATATTTATACAGTAATAATCATATAATAATAACATAATATTCATATATAATATTTATAATAATATATAATAATAATGATAACCCACTTCGTCTTCCTTCTGCATTGCCTCCAAGGCTGCCTTCGGGGCCCCCACATTGGTGGTTTTGATGTCGCCCCCTTTTGGGAGGGGCGTTTTTTGAGGGCCCCTCCTGCCTCGACTTCCTCTTCCTCCTTCCTCTTCTTCCTCCCAAGCGCCTTTGACCGCCTGCAGCAGGTAAGAGGTGCGTGTTTCGTCCCTGGTGTTCCGCATTAAGGATTATGATTATGGTCATTATTATTAATATTACTAACAATATAGTATAATTATAAAATAATATATAATAATATACTACTACTAATATACGATACTAATATAATACTACTACTAACATAATAATATAACAATACTCTTATTATTACTATTACCAACAATATAATAATACTGATAATATAACAGAATACTCGCAATATAATAATATGCTACTAGTATATTATAATAAATAATATTCTACAAATATGATAATAATATAATACTACTTATATTATTATTACTATTACTACTAATATAATGCAATATAATAATACTAATAATATAATACTACTAATATGACATAATAATATACTATTAATACACTACTATAATAATATAATAATAATATGCAGCTAATATAAAATATGATAATGCTACTAAAAATATTATATACTACTACCACTGATGTAATATAATAATATAGTATAGTATAGGACTCCAGCCCAATTATTATTATTATTATTATTATTATTATTATTTCTTTCCTTCCTTCTTTCTTTCTTTCTTTCTTTCTTTCTTTACATCCCGCTTTTCTATAATTTTATATAATCAATATCATTTTGGAAAATGATAACGAAATGATGGAAAGAACATTTAAAATACCTATACAAATAAATTTAGATATGACTGTAATGAGGATATTAGGAAACAATATGAAAAGGTCCAGTTTCAAATTACAAAATGTGTAATTATTATTTTATTACATAAAAGCATCTGCATACAATGTATAAATATTATTATTATTATTATTATTATTATTATTTAGACTCTGCTCCATCTCCCCAAAGGGGATTCAAAGTAGCTTGGCATAAAAGCATTATTAAGCATTACAATGAGTGATAATAAAAATAATATATTATATATTTTATTGGCATAAAAGCATTAGCATACAATTTAAAATATAGTAATATATTATTATATGTGATACTTATTATATTTATCATATATATAATTATAGTATTATATTATTGTATATTGCTAATATTATTGTTTTTATTATATACTATAATAATAATAATAATATTTATTTATACACAGAGGAAATGAAAAAACAAATGGACAACATATATACAATGGGAAAATGGATAAAACCAATACAAATATATATAACACATATCTATAATTTATAAATTATTATAAATACATATCTATAACTAATAAATAAAGTAAATATTATTATTATTAATAATAGTAGTAACAAGGATACAAATGGGGGGAAGCCTGTTGGAGGAGACTGACATCATCTGCAACTGGGAAAAGCGCATCATATTCGCGGAGGAATCTGGGGGGAAATGAACAGATATATACAGAGATATAGATATATAGTCAATTCAATTAACATAATAATAATAATAATAATAATAATAATAATAATAATAAATAAGTTTGCTGACCTTCTTTCTTGAAGGATGGAGGCAAAGATCTGGAGGAACTCCTCGACAAAAGGCTGGATATTCTCACTGCTGTAATAATAATAATAATAATAATAATAATAATAATAATAAAATAGTGTAATATATTATAATCGTAAGAAATATAATACATATAATAACAATAAATGTAACTATAATATGTATATTATAATAGGAAATATAATATATGCATTTAATAATTAATGAATATAATAATATAATATTAAATAATATAATATTATTATATATTAAATATAATAATAGATTAATATAATATTATAATAACAAATGAATATGTTACATACAATAAATAGTATCCTAAATATATTAATAGATAATATAATAATGAATGAATATTAAATATAATAATAAATGAGCATAATATATTAAAGTAATAATAAATGAGTATATTACATATAACAATAGTAAATGAATATAATAATATTTTACAGATAGTAATAATAGATAATATAATATTAAATATAACAAAATGAATATAATATAATATTACATGTAATAATAAATAATATAATATTACATATAATAATAATGTATTAGTATTATTATATTTGCACAAGGACCTGCTTTCGAGGATGGGCTGTAGGCAGAGATGCTGCACCAAGAGATGGAAGAGCTCCGCCATTTTCTTCTTCGAGTGAGACAGCCTCCGCCACAAATCCGACGCCAACCTGCAATTTTCATTCATTTAAAATATTATATATTAAATTAATTATTATTAATATTATTATTCTATATTATAAGATTAAAATATTAATTAAAAGATGCATTTAGGAATTCAAATTATTACATATATAAAATAGAATAATTACTAATATGAATAATTATATGAATATTATTATTCTGAGTACCTACCTGGGGTCTTCCCGATACCTCCTCTTGATGGCAGTCTCCAGCTCAGGCACCAGCAGCTCATAAAAGGAGGCCAACCTAAGGGATCATCACACTGCATATTATTATTATTATTATTATTATTATTATTATCATCATCATCATCATCATAGATTACTATATATCATATATTAACTATTATAATATATTAATGTACTTTATAAATTGTTTATATATAATATATATATTTCATATTATATTATATTATTATATATTATTAGGTCTATATATAATATATATAATATGAAACAATAATAATATGTAATATTTTATAACAATATATAATAATGTGAAATTGTATTTCATAGGTTGGCATCCTTATAACAATATAATGCTACTACTACTACTGCTACTACTACTACTACTACTAATAATAATGATAACAGAATAATATTATAATAGGATGCCAACATAAAAAATATGATTTCATATAATGTTGCTATCTATATATATAAAAATGCTGTGTGCATAATGAGTACCTTAAAAACAAAAGAAACAATGAACGAAATCACACCAAATTTGGCAACAAAACGTCTCACAACACAAGGAGTGACCATCACTCAAAAATTATGATTTTGTCATTTGGGAGTTGTAGTTTCTGGGATTTATAGTTCACCTATAATCAAAGACTCCACCAACGATGGAATTGAACCAAACTTGGCACACAGAACTCCCATGACCAACAGAAAATACTAGCAGCGTTTGGTGGGCATTGACCTTGAGTTTGGGAGTTGTAGTTCACCTACATCCAGAGAGCACTGTGGACTCAAACAATGATGGATCTGGACCAAACTTGGCACAAATATTCCATATGCCCAAATATGAACACAGATGGAGTTTGGGGGAAATAGACCTTGACATTTGGGATTTGTAGTTACTGGGATTTATAGTTCACCTACAATTAAAGAGCATTCTGAAACCCACAAACGACAGAAATGGGGCAAACGTCCCAAACCAGACTATCTCTACGTCAACACTGTCAAAGAAACATAAAGAAATACTGTTTACCCACAAGCATAAAGATATTACATATATTAGAAACCAGCACTTTCTAATTACTTTATTTTCCATATCACCAGACTGGGCCACAGCAACGCGTGGCAGGGGACCGCTAGTTATATATTATATTAGTAGTTTATATTATAATTATATTACAATATAACTATATCCCAAACCACACCAAGAAGTAAAGTTGGTAATGGGGGCAAGTTTGGTCCAGGTCCGTCATTTGTGGGGGTCGCAGTGGTCTCTGGAAGTGAGTGAAGGTACTGCAAATCCCATCTTCTGTGGCAAGTGTGGTCTAGATCCATCGTTGTTCAGGTTCACAGTGCTCTCTGAATGTAGGTGAACTACAACCCCTATAAATCAAGGTCAATACCCCCCAAATGTCTTGTTCAGTTGCTGATCAATTCCTGTTTGCTGTGTGCCATAAGAATGGGTAGGAAAGGGTTAAGGGGAGGCAGTCGACAGGGTCATGCAAATTCCACACTCATGGAGAGAGAAAGGAACCCTGGGATGTCCATTCTGGAGGAAAAACAGAACATCTAGGATGAAATTGTCCCCGAATGAAAGTATTGCTTAGGTGGTGGGCAGTGTGGTGTTTGGGGAGGGCATTGGCAGGGGTTGGGAGGCATGTTCATGACGCCTGCTGTCACCTGCAATGTCCCTGGAGGGAGGGCTTTTGGTGGCTCAGCACTGTGGGATAAAGTGGTTTGTGGAGGCGGGAGGCTGTGTGTGTAAGTGGACACCTCCACCACATACACATGTGTATAAATAGATAGATAAAATATACATTATTATTATTATTATTATTATTATTATTATTATTATTATTGTAATCGCACCTGGCACAGAAGTCGTGCTTGTGGAAGGTCTGGGCAGCCAATGGGAAAACCTCCAGGAAAGCCCAGAGTGTCACACAGATGTCGCACAAGTACAGGATGATATCTGCCAGGTCCTAGCAGAAGAATGATATAGAATAGAATAAATATAAATAATAAAATAATAATAATGAATTCATAATAAATGAATAAAAAAATTATTCTATAGAATAGCATAGACTACATGCAATTAAAATATAATAAGTATATAATAATCACATAAAAATAAAAAATAAAATAATTATTATATAGAATAGAATATAAATAATAAAATATAATAAAATATAACAATAAATACATAATAAATAAAAATAACAATCACATGTCAGATCCTAGCAGAATTAAAATAGGATTATATAATAAATATAAAAATTTATCCATAAATAAAATAATAAAATATAATATTTATATACCTAAATAATACAATGAATAATCAACTATAATAAAATATCCAAAAGTAACGCAACAAATAAAATTAATAAATAATCAAGTATAATGTATCCAAAAATACTAACAAAGAATAATAATTAGAAATATAAAATGAATAAATCATAATATTATAATAGAATAAGAAGAAAAATAAAATGAAAATGTAATATAAATAATAATAATATTAATCTGACCAGAAGGGGCATGTCGCGTGGGGTTGTCCGGGGCCGTTCTCCCAGCTTCTGGGGCCCTTCGCTTGCCAAGCCACATGTCTCCAAGATGCTGCCAAAGACCTATAATAATAGTCATCATTGTAATGATAAATCATGAAGGTGAATGAAGAGTAACTAGTAGGCTTCAGCTTGGATCTGTTTTGATTAGTTTCCTTTGGCTTTTTCATGTTCTTTGGGATGAGTTGGGTCGGTGAATATTTTCATGAATATTTTGTAAATATTTTCGATTATTTTTGTAAATATTTTCATGATTATTTTATTACTTTTGTGAATATTTTTGTGCTTATTTTTATTATTCTCATCAATATTTTGATTCTTTTCAAGAATATTTTCATGATTATTATTGTGAATATTTTCATGAATTTTAAAAATTATTTGTCATGAATATTTTTGTAAATGTTTTCATATTTTGTGAATATTTTTTATTATTTTCATGACTACTTTTGTAATTTTTATTATCTTTGCGATTATTTCATTAATATTTTCATAATTATTTTGTGAATATTTTTGTGAACATTTTTGTGAACTTTAAACATTATTTTTGTGAATTATTTTCAAGAATTTTTTGCAAATATTTTTGTGATTATTTTGTAAATATTTTTTATTATTGTTGTTGTTGTTGTTCATTCGTTCAGTCGTCTCCGACTCTTCGTGACCTCATGGACCAGCCCACGCCAGAGCTCCCTGTCGGTCGTCACCACCCCCAGCTCCTTTAGAGTTAAGCCAGTCACTTCAAGGATCCCATCCATCCATCTTGCCCTTGGTCGGCCCCTCTTCCTTTTGCCTTCCACTTTCCCCAGCATCATTGTCTTCTCTAGGCTTTGCTGTCTCCTCATGATGTGACCAAAGTACTTCAACTTTGTCTCTAGTATCCTTCCCTCCAATGAGCAGTCGGGCTTTATTTCCTGGAGGATGGACTGGTTGGATCTTCTCGCAGTCCAAGGCACTCTCAGCACTTTCCTCCAACACCACAGTTCAAAAGCATCTATCTTCCTTCGCTCGGCCTTCCCTAAGGTCCAGCTCTCACATCCGTAGGTTACTACAGGGAATACCATGGCTTTGACTAGGCGGATCTTTGTTGCCAGTGTGATGTCTCTACTCTTTACTATTTTATCGAGATTGGACATTGCTCTCCTCCCAATTATTATTATTATTGTAAATATTTTATTATTATTGTAAATATTTTCATGATTTTTTTATTTGTTCTGTGAATATTTTTGGATTATTTTCATGATTATTTGGATTATTTTCATGATTATTTTGTGAATATTTTTTATTTTGTTTTTTGTGAATATTTTCATGAATTAAAGATTTTTTGTAATTTTTTCATGACTATTTTGACAATTGTTTTTGTGATTATTTTGTGAATATTTCTTATTTTTGTGAATATTTTCATAATATTTTTTATTATCTTTGCAATTATTTCATGAATATTCTCGTGATTATTTTTATGAATATTTCCATGAATTAAAAAAATATTTTTGTGAATTTTTTCATGAATGTTTTTGCACATGTTTTCGTGATTTTGTGAATCTTTATTATTTTCATGTATATGTCCATGATTATTTTTTTGAGTAATTTTGTGAATATTTTTGGATTATTATCATGCTTATTTTTTCTGTGAATCCCTTACCTGGAGGATGGTGGTAAGGGATTCATCCAAGTCAACGAAGTAACTGGGCTGCTGTGCAAAGACGTTCTCTGCCAAAAAGAAAGAACAAGATTATATTACCGTATATACTCGAGTATAAGCCAACCCAAATATAAACCGAGACACCTAATTTTGCTACAAGAACTGGGAAAACATATAGACTCAAGTATAAACCGAGGGTGGAAAATGTAGCAGCGACTGGTAAATTTTGAAATAAAAACAGATACCAATAAAATTGCATTAACTGAGGCATCAGAAGGTTAAATGTTTTTGAATGTTTACATAACACTGTAATTTAAGATAAGACTGTCCAACTCTGATTCTAAGCATCTTCAATGTGCTTATGTATCCTTCCAATAATAATAAAGAGAGTAACATACTAATGTAACAACAATAATAATAATAGAGTAAAATAATGGAAATGTAATAATAACAGTAATAATACAGTAAAATAATAAATGTAATAATAACCATAATAAATATTGTAAAATAATAGATGTAATAATATTAATAAAGTAAAATAATAATGTAATAATAACGGAGTAAAATGATAAATGTAATAATAATAATAAATATAAAATAATACATGCAATAAAAAGTAAAATAATAAATAACCTTGACTCAAGTATAAGCTGAGAGGAACATTTTCAGCCTATAAAAACTAGGCTTATACTTGAGTATATACAGTATTATATATTATTAATATATATTATTAACTGATTATACATTGTATTGTCGAAGGCTTTCATGGCTGGAATCACTGGGATGTTGTAGGTTTTTCCGGGCTATATGGCCATGTTCTGGAGGCAATTTTTTTTCTCCTGACGTTTCGCCTGCATCTATGGTAAGCATCCTCAGAGGTAGTGAGGTCTGTTGGAAGTAGGAAAACTTCCAACAGACCTCACTACCTCTGAGGATGCTTGCCATAGATGCAGGCGAAATGTCAGGAGAAAAATTGCCTCCAGAACATGGCTATATAGCCCGGAAAAACCTACAACAACCCAGTGATTATACATTTATTAAATAATAACAATAACAATCTCAACTGACGTATCATCTTGTGCAGGAGGGGCCCATTTCCTTTCCCGAAAAGAACGCAGAGGTCCATGATCTTGGGGATGTCGAACAGGAAGTGATTGTAGATTATCTCCCCGAAGGCAGAGGGAGACAGGAAGTGCTCCTAAACACCAGGAAAGGAAAGGTCATAATAGATACACATTCAGAATATATATATATCTATATAAATAAAAATGTAATGTTCGTTTGTGGGATTAACAGAACTCAAAAACCACAGGACGAATTGACACCAAATTTGGACACAAGACACCTAACAACCCAATGTATGTCCTTCACTAAAAAAAAAATGATTTTGTCATTTGGGAGTTGTAGTTGCTGGGATTTATAGTTCACCTACAATCAAAGAACATCCTGAACCCCACCAACGATGGAATTGAACCAAACTTGGCACACAGTTCTCCCATGACCAACAGAAAATACTGGTGGGCAATATCTTTTGGTTTTGGAGTTGAAGTTCACCTACATCCAGAGATCACTGTGCACTCAAACAATGATGGATCTGAACCAAACTCTACACGAATAATCAATATGCCCAAATGTGAACACTGGTGGAGTTTGGAGAAAATAGAATCTTGACATTTGGGAGTTGTAGTTGCTGGGATTTATAGTTCACCAACAGTCAAAGAGCATTCTGAACCTGACTAATGATAGAATTGGGCCAAACCTCCCACACAGAACCCCCATGTGGGCCATAGCAACGCGTGGCAGGGGATGGCTAGTATATATAAATATACAGTATATTCTGGCGTATAAGACTACTTTTTAACCCAAGAAAATCTTCTCAAAAGTTAGGGGTCGTCTTATATGCGGGTGTAGTCTTATGCATGGGAGTCGTCTTAACTCTATATTTCAACTGGAAAAGTTGGGGGTCGTCTTATACGCCCAGTCGTCTTATATGCCGGAATATACGGTATATATACACACACATAATGAAAGTGAAAAATGTGTATGTGGCAGAGGTGAGTTGCCCAGCCAGGTTCCCAATAATAATAATAATAATAATAATAATAATAATAATAATTTATTATAGTGAAAATGTATGTATGTGTATATGCGGCAGAGGCGTCCTCTTACACAGACAGCCCCCAGCCTCCACAAACAGGCTATAGTTCCAAGTGCTGAGAAGCCTCCAAAGGCACACCCTCCACTGACATTGCAGGTTATAGCAAGCGCCATGAACATGTAGCCCAACCCCTGCTAATGTCCTCCCCAAACACTATGGCCTACCACTCAAGGACTGCTTTCATTTCGGGAAAATTTCATCTTAGATTTGACATGTTTCCTCCACCACAGGCAAGCATCCAGGTTTCCTTGTGTGGAATTTGCATACCCCGCCCACTGCCTCTACCTTAACCCTTTCCTATGACACACAACAAACAGAGAGGAATTGATCAGCAACTGAACAGACTGGAGGGGTTTGGGGGAATGACTCTACAGGGTGGAAGTTGTAGTTCACCCTGCATCAAGACAGAGCACTGTGACCCCCTTCGATAATGGACCTGGACCACATTTGGCACATCGAACCCCCATGACCAGGATTAGGGAATTGACCTTGATTTATTGGAGTTGTTGTTCACCTACAGCCAAAGAGCACTGTGAACCCAACCGATAATAGATCTGGGCCAAACTTGCCATAGATGATGGGACTTGCAGTACGATCACTCACTTCCAGAGACCACTGCGACCCCCACGAATGACAGATCAGGACCAAACTTGCCACACAGATACCCCCATAGCAATAGAACATAGTGGAGGGGTTTGTGGGGGAGTGACCCCCCTGCATGGAGTTTTACTTCACCCTGCATCCAGAGAGCATTCTGAACCCCACCAACAATGGCCCTGAACCAAACTTGTCACACAGAACCCTGGATTACCAATGCAACATATTGGAGGGGTTTGGAGAACTGACCCACCAGTGTGCGAGTTGTAGTTCATCCTGCATCCAAAGAACTCTGAACCCCACCAGGACCTGGACTAAACATGGCACACAGAACCCTGGTGAGCAATAGAACACATTGGATAAGTGTTTTTTTGGGGAGGGGGACTGACCCACCCACGTGGGAGTTGTAGTTCACCCTGCATCCAGAGATCATACTGAAGCCCGTCAATGATGGATCTGGACCAAACTTGGCACACAGAACCCTGGTGACCAACAGAACACACTGTGGGGAGCCTGACCTTGGAACCTGGCACTTATAGTTCACTCTGCATCCATAGAGCACTGAAGCCCTCCCAAAACTAATCTTGGCACACAAACCCTACATGGCTAACTTTAAATACTGGTGGGGTTTGGAGGTGGTTGACCCACTATTTTTGGAAATTGTAGCTCACCCACATCCTTATGCATTTTAATAGGACCATTCATTAAAAAGCAAAAGGAAAGAATAACTATTTTCTAATAAAACAAACTTTCCAAAACAAACAATGCCTTCTTCTAATAACCCAGATGTCACCGGGTCCCCAAGCTAGTATATATTATTATTATTGTTCTTACTTTGGACTCCTTGTGGGTGGACATCCGGAGGAAGGTCATGAAGACCCCGCGGTGGAGCCGCCCCTGCACTTTGTCCATTTCCGGGGTCAAATCCCTGGCCCCATCATCCATTGCCGTGGCGTCGAACTTTCGGGGGGCAGAGCTCAGGTAGGCATCCAGGCACTTTTGCAGACTCTCGTCAAAAATCACCTTCAATAGATAGCATTATGAATTACATTATTATTATTATATAAATAATTAAATACTATAGAGAATATTCAAGAATATATACTCAGGGATAATAATAATAATAATAATAGGGATATATTCATGGGGAGAATAATATTATACATTTTAATGTCTTGTTATATTTCATATTATTATTATATTATTATAATTGTTATAAAAGAATGCCAATCTAAGAAGCACAATTAAATATTATTATTATATATTATTGTTTCACATTATATATTTTATTTCACATTATATTGTTATTATATTTTATATTATTGTTTCATAATATATGTTTACATTTCATATTATGTTGTTATTATATGTACTGGGTTGTTGTAGGTTTTTCCGGGCTATATGGCCATGTTCTGGAGGCAATTTTTCTCCTGACGTTTCGCCTGCATCTATGGCAAGCATCCTCAGAGGTAGTGACCTCACTACCTCTGAGGATGCTTGCCATAGATGCAGGCGAAACATCAGGAGAAAAATTGCCTCCAGAACATGGCCATATAGCCCGGAAAAACCTACAACAACCCAGTGATTCTGGCCATGAAAGCCTTCGACAATACATTATATGTACTATTACACTGTCATTATTTTATTATGATATTATAATATTTTATTATAATATTATTATAGTATTTTATTATATTATTAAATTATATATTATTATGTTGTTATTATTATATAAATAATAATATAATAATAAGAGAGGGATATTAAAGGAGAATAATAATAGAGATATTCATGGTGAGATATTTTTTGTTCAACTATTTCAAAGCGCCCTCCTTAAGTGGTGATGGCACAATCGTCAGCATACATGGAACTCTCTGTCCCTTCTGGGAGTGGCTGGTCATTGGTGTAAATATTAAGCATTATTAATATATTATATTATTATATTATTAATGCTTAATATTTTATTATAGTACATTACATTACTATATTTTTACTATTATATTATTATACCACATTATATAATATATTATTATTGTTTCATATTGTATATTTCATTTTATATTATGGTATTATTACTATATATAATAATACCATAATATAAAATGAAATATACAATATTATTATATTTCATATTATATTGATATTACTACATTATATATTATTATATTATGCATTATCATTATTTTGTTTCATATTATAATATTGCATATTATTATGTTATTGTTATATTATCAATATAATAATGATATAATTACTGGAGCTCTCAGTGGTGCAATAGGTTAAGCCCTTGTGCCAGCAGGACTGCTGACCAACAGGTCGGAGGTTTGAATCTGGGGAGAGCAGGTTGAGCTCCCTCTGTCAACTCCAGCTCCCCATGCGGGGACATGAAAGAAGCCTCCCACAAGGATGGTAAAACATCAAACATTTGCAGACGGCTAATTCTATGGGCAGGATAGATTTATTTGTGTGCAAATAAATAAATAAATAAATAAAATGTTGGCTAATAAGGAGGGATTAAGGAAAAGCCTATTAAAAGACAAATTACATTATGATTTTACAAATTAAGCCCCAAAACCTCATGTCGTACAACAAATCGACAGAAAGGGCAGTTCAATACATGGTAATGTTATGTAGTAATTACTGTATTTACGAATTTAGCACCAAAATATTGCAATGTATTGAAACAGCTGTGGATCCGGGCGGGAGGCAGACTGTGTTGGATAATACAGAATGTTGGATGAGCGAAGGTTGGATAAGCGAGGCTCTACTGTAATAATAATAATAATAATAATAATAATAAGAGATATTCATGGAGATGATTATATAATAATATAATAATAATAATATTAAATAATATTATTAAATAATAATAATAATAATAATGCTTACCTGGCACCAGAAGCGGTGGTGGGGCAGGGCGAGGAGCCAATCGAATCCCTCGGCCAGGGAAGCGGTCCTGCTCTGGAACTCTTCCCACTCAGCACTAGGCCATGGCACTTGGGGTGGAGGGCGGTACCGCAGGAAGGCGCGCTCACTCCTCCTCCCAGGGTGCTGGAAGAAAAATAATAATATCACCTTATAATAGTAATAATAATACAATATAGTGATATACAATAATAATATTGTAATACAATAATATATTAGACTCAGTATCTATATTCATAATATTTATAGTAGATATTGATACATTCTAGTCTATATTTATATTAGATTCAATATGTAGCTTCAATATCAATAATGTTTATATTATATTCAATATCTATGTTTATATTATACTAGCTTGGGTACCCGGCGTTGCCCAGGTTATTTGAAAAAGTCAAACTGTATGAAATGCATAAGGTTTTAAACTGTATGAAATGCATAAGGTTGTGGGTGAACTACAACTCACATCATGCCAGATTAACCTCCTGAAACTCCACCTGTTGTAGTTGAGCGTGATGGTAACGTTACTACTACTGGTAGAAGGGAGAAGAGCTCTGCTCAGGAGTTGGAGGAGGAGCAGCAGCGAAAACGGATCAGGGAAATAATCATGGCTCCAAGTGATTCTGAGACGTTTGAGGGCTTCTCTGATTGTGAAATGAGAGATGGGGAGGAGAGCAGGGGAGTGAAGCGGGTTACTCGTGATCAAGAGTCCGACGAAGAGCTTCAGAGGAAGTGTATTCGTGAAATACTTACTGCTCCTACAGAGGACGAGGACTTCATGGGGTTTGAAAAGAGTGATGGATCTGGGAGTGACATGGGAGAGGAGGATGAGCTGGATTGGACCCGTGTTCAGGAGATTTGGGACATTTGTAACCAACCCACCTCTAGTGATGATTTTGAGGGGTTTACTGGGGATTGGCAACCAGGGAATACTTGGCAAGATCTAAATCTTGAAAGACGCTGGCAGAGGTGGAGGGATGGGCGCTCGGGTACAGCTGCGGGGCTGGAGGCAGCTGAGAGCGATGAAGAAAGAGTGGGGAGCTCATCATCCTCTGATGAGGAACTTTAGGATAAAAATGGGTTCTGTTTGGATGACTCTTTGCAGAAGGCAAAGTGTCTCTTTTGGGATGTGAATCTTTGTTACTGCCAACTCTCGAGCTTGGGTCCTTGGACTACAGATTCCTGTGTTCCTGCATTCCTGTGTTCCCGTGTTTACCTTTTTGCAACGGCTTGACTCCGGACCAGTTTGACCAACGCTTTTGTCTTTTGGACTTTATCATTGCTAACTTCATGTTCTGACCTTGCTACATTTTGGGACTCAGTTTTCTGCCTCTCGTTATTGTGCTTGTGAACTGTGTATATTTTGAAGCAGATTGCTGAACTTTTGCGTTAACCCGGATTAAACAGCTATATAATCCGGGTTATATTTTTGTTACTGATTTCACTGTGTTTTTGATGCCAGTTTTTTTTGCCAGAACTTACTGCACTGAATTTAAGTGCTTTAAAGACTTCTTTTTGCTCAATAAAGTTGTGTTTGAACCTTTTTACTATGTGTTTGGCTTACTAAGGCTTCGGTCTTAACACCATCAGTGCTTAAAGTTTGTCATGTTGGGTAAGTTTGCTCTAGATGCATCATCGGGGGGGGGGGGGGGGGTTCAGTGTGCTCTCTGGCTGCAGGATAAACTAAAGCTCCCACCATGATGGGTCAGTTCCCCCCAAACCCAAACTATCTATGTGTATACATAGGTAGATAGATAGATTATAGTCAATATTTATATTACATTCAATGTTTATGTTTATATTACATTATATTCAATACTTATATTATTATATTCATATTACTCCATATTCAATATATTCCGTATTTATATTTTATTACATCCCATTTATATTATATTATATTATATTATATTATATTATATTATATTATATTATATTATATTATATCTTCCATGACAAGCATCTCAAGCTCTGAGGATTACCTGGGAAGGAATCCCACTGGAGCATTGCAGCACACCCAAATACCTGGGAGTCACTCTGGACTGTGCTCTGACTTACAAGAAGCATTACTTGAATATCAAGCAAAAAGTGGACGCTAGAAATAATATCACACAAAAGCTGACTGGCACAACCTGGGGATCACAACCAGACACAGTGAAGACATCTGCCCTTGCATTTTGCTACTCTGCTGCTGAGTACACATGCCCAGTGTGGAACACATCTCACCACGCGAAAACAGTTGATGTGGCTCTTATTGAGATATACTGCATTATTACAGGATGCCTATGCCGTACACCACTGGAGAAATTACACTGTATAGCTGGTATTGCACCACCTGACACCTGTTGGGAAGTAGCAGCCTGTAATGAAAGGGCCAAGGCAGTGACATCTCCAGCCCATCCTCTGTTTGGATATCAGCCAGCACGCCAATACCTTAAATCAAGAAATGGTTTTCTAAGATCTACAGAGAGACTCGCAGGAACACCTCAGCAAGCCAGAATCCAAAAGTGGCAGTCAAAAACCTGGAACCTCAAGCCATGGCTGATAACAAATGAGAGACTCCCCCCTGGGCACACAGAAGACTGGGCGACTTTGAAGGCGTTGAACAGGCTGTGTGTTGGCACAAGATGCAGAGCCAACCTTAAGAAATGGGCCGCAAAGTGGAGTCCACGACATGCGAGTGTGGAGAACAGCAAACCACCGACCACCAACTACAATGAAGCCTGAGCCCTGCCACATGTACAATGGAGGACCTTCTTATAGCAACACCAGAGGCACTCCAAGTGGCCAGCTACTGGTCAAAGAACACTTAATATAATGCCAAGTATTTTTTAAATTTTGTGTGTTTTAAAAACAACAACATTTAAACTGTACCCTCGGTCTGCTTCTGATATGATAAATAAATAAATAAAATATTCCATAAATATTCACCAAGGCGGGCAAAGTCTTCGTTTTCCCCGTCACGACGTCTTTCTCCGTCAAATAGAGTTCGTCCAACGCAGTCATCTTGATGTCCTTAATGGAAAACACAATGTATTTAGTTCTGATATATTAAAAATATTCCATATATTTGTATATTCATTGATATAATAATGATAATAAGAATAATAATAGAGAGATCTATTGATGGAAATAATAATAACAGGGAGATATTCATGGATATAATAACAACAACAACAAGAAATATTGATGCATATACTAATAATAGGAAGATATTAATGGATATAATATAAGAGATATGTTCATGGAAATAATAAAAATAATAGAGCTATATTGATGGAAATAATAATAATAATAATAATAATAATAATAATAATAGGGAGATATTCATGGATATAACAACAACAAGAAGAAATATTGATGCATATACTAATAATAGGAAGATATTCATGGATATAATATAAGAGATATGTTCATGGAAATAATAAAAATAATAGAGATAGATTGATGGATATAATAATAATAATAGTCGTAATAATAATAATAGGGAGATATTCATGGATATAATAACAGCAAGAAGAAGAAATATTGATGCATATACTAATAATAGGAAGATATTCATGGATATAATATAAGAGATAGGTTCATGGAAATAATAAAAATAATAGAGATATATTGATGGAAATAATAATAATAATAGTAGTAGTAGTAATAATAATAGGGAGATATTCATGGATATAATAACAACAATAACAAGAAATATTGATGCATATACTAATAATAGGAAGATATTCATGGATATAATATAAGAGATATGTTCCTGGAAATAATAAAAATAATAGAGCTATATTGATGAATAATAATAATAATAATAATAATAATAGGGAGATATTCATGGCTTTAATAATAATAATAACAACAATAGAGATATTCATGGATGTAATAATAAGGAGATATATTGATGGATATAATAATAATAATGTTATATTGATGGATCTCCCTATTATTATTTAATATTTAAAATATTTATTTATATATTTTAATGTCTTTAAATATTTCAATATATATATTTGAATAGGCATCTATATTATGTATTGATAGATTAAATATAGATTACTTATTTAACTACATTCAATGTTATTGAATGTATTTATATTTTAATATATGGCTACATTAATTTAAGATTTAACATACAGATTTCAGATATATATTTTAATATATTTATATATTTCATTAAATATACATATTTTATGTTATACATTTTTATTTTATATATTTATTATAATGTATAATTGTATTATGTATTAATTATATTAATTATAATGAAATCATTATATTTGTAATTATAATTCTAATAATATATTTCAACCGATTCCATATATAATACTTTGATCTCTTATATATACATTTGTATCTATTCTATTATTATGAATACCAGGCTCACCCAAAGGGGAGAAGGCAGGAGAAGGGCTCTATTCCGGGCTGCGGTCCTTAGCCCCTCCTCTTCTGGCGGCTTCGAGGCCGAACGGCCTTACATCATGGCGCCCAATGGAACTCTGGGAGTCGTAGTCCGAGGGCGGGGCCCGGGCATCATCAGCAAGGGGAGCTAACCGTCGCCGAACTACGAGGCCAAGGGTGCAGCGCGGCGATTTAAAGGGACAGACGCCACCACGTTGATGGGAGGTACATAATGAACAGTAAGGAGGTCCTGGAGGGATATGGTTCATATTAATATGAATAAGGAATGATGACTTCAGGTCCTGGAGGGATATAGTTCACAGGTCCTGGAAGTAGATAGTTCACAACATTCAGATCTCAGAAATAGTTAGGTCAAAATGTTCAGGTCCTGGAAGTAGATAGTTCACAACATTGAGGTCTTGGAAGTAGATCTTTCACAACATTCAGGTCCTGGAAGTATATAGTTTACAACAGTTAGGTCTTGGAAGTAGATAGTTTATTTATTTATTTACTTTACTTGTATACCGCAGTTTCTCAGCCCAACAGGCGACTCAACGCGGTTTACAACAAGGATAAGAATCAATCAACGATATACAATTTAAAACCATAAAAGCATAATATACAATATTGACACAACAATAGACAACACAATGCATCTCATAACTAGAGTCGTGATCCAATCTGTCGTCCAAATTTCCATTCCTGTAATCATCACATTCATTGCACTGTTTAACCGAATGCCCGTTCAAACATCCAAGTTTTTAATCTTCTTCGGAACACCATTAGCGAGGGGGCTGATCTTACCTCCATAGGAAGGGCGTTCCACAGCCGGGGGGCCACCACAGAAAAGGCCCTGTCTCGTCCCCGCCAGCCGCACCTGTGAAGCAGGCGGGATAGAGAGCAGGGCCTCCCCAGAAGATCTTAGGGTCCTGGCGGGCTGATAGGCAGAGATACGTTCGGATAGGTAACTTGGGCCAGAACCATTTAGGGCTTTATAGGCCAACGCCAGCACTTTGAATTGATTGAGTTCACATCATTCAGGTCCTGGAAGTAGACAGTTCATAGTATTCAGGTCCTGAAAGTATATAATTCACAACAGTCAGGTCTTGGCGAGCTCTGGGAAGGAATCCCACTGGAGCACTGCAACACACCCAAATACCTGGGAGTCACTTTGGACCGTGCTCTGACCTACAAGAAGCACTGCCTGAACATCAAGCAAAAAGTGGGCGCTAGAAACAACATCATACGAAAGCTGACTGGCACAACCTGGGGATCACAACCAGACACAGTGAAGACATCTGCCCTTGCGCTGTGCTACTCTGCTGCTGAGTATGCATGCCCAGTGTGGAACACATCTCACCACGCTAAAACAGTGGATGTGGCTCTTAATGAGACATGCCACGCATTATCACGGGGTGTCTGCGCCCTACACCACTGGAGAAATTACAATGTTTAGCCGGTATTGCACCACCTGACATCCGCCGGGAAGTAGCAGCCAATAGTGAAAGGACCAAGGCAGAGACATCTCCAGCTCATCCCCTGTTTGGGTATCAGCCAGCACGTCAACGACTTAAATCAAGAACATAGTTTTCTTAGATCTACAGAGACACTCACTGGAACACCTCAGCAAGCGAGAGTCCAAAAGTGGCAGGCTCAAACCCAGCACCTCAATCCATGGGTGATACCAGATGAGAGACTCCTCCCTGGGCACACAGAAGACTGGGCAACTTGGAAGGCGCTGAACAGACTGCGCTCTGGCACCACGAGATGCAGAGCCAATCTTAAGAAATGGGGCTACAGGGTGGAATCCACGGCATGCGAGTGTGGAGAAGAACAAACCACTGACCACCTGCTGCAATGCACCCTGAGCCCTGCCACATGCACAATGGAGGACCTTCTTGCGGCAACACCAGAGGCACTCCAAGTGGCCAGATACTAGTCAAAGGACATTTAACCAACTACCAAATTTGCAAAATCTGTTTTACTTTTTTTTTACTTTTTAATCTGTGTGTTTGTTTTGCTCTGTTAGAATTGTAATACAATGGTATGGTTGCTGATGACACGATAAATAAAATAAATAGTCAGCATATAATTCACAACAGCTGGTCTGAGTCCATCTACGGAGGTAGAGAAGATCGGGATATAAAAGTTTTAAATAAATAAATAACATCCCGGCCTTGGAAGTAGATAGTTCATAATAATCAGGTTCTGGAAAGATGCAGTTCACAACATTCAGGTCCTGGAAGCATACAGTTCACAGCATTTGAGGGAGAGCATGATTTTTGGGGCCCTGCCAAGCAGAGGCCAGCAAGACCCAAAAAGAGGATCTAAGGTCGAACCCAGAACTCCTTACTTTCAAGCTGATCTGACCTGTGGCAGGGAGTTCTTCAGTTCTCTATTGCCCCGCTTGGGCCAACTTCCATGAAACGTAGCCACAGCAGCAGCTACAACCAAGAAGCCTTCTTATTGCTTCACTTTCTTCCCCTTCCTAACATTGTAACAAATCCCCCAATAAAGTATCCATTAATTGTAACTTTTTCTCTTCTTGGTACTACTTTGTGTCTTTTACTGCCTCCAAACTTTTCTCTCCCAGGTTGCAGATGGCTGCCGGCCTGCCCAGGATGCAATTTTCAAGTCCCAGGGAGGCTGAAACTGTGCTCCTCTGAACCACGGATATGGAAACTCATTGCCCCCCTTATCCGCAAGCCTTCTCAACATGCCCCATGGATTCTTGCAACTTTAAATCAACTTTTGCCAACCTTTAAGAACTTTTGAAAACTTCCTGGAACTTTTTCCCCAAGCCCCATGGACTCCCTTTTATGATTTTGGGATTTTATGATTTCATGACCTTAGACTCTTTATGGACTCTGGTGGGTGGGATGGGCCAATATGAATTTCCTTTTCCTTGTGTATGCCTTATGAACCCCATGTATGTCTATGTATAAAAAATATGGGAAGCCACCTTTTTGTGACCCCAGCATGAAAAACTCTTGGGAAATTCCTTCCTATTTCCTGAGATGGATTCCCCATTGACTTAAGGACTCCAACAAAGACTTATTGCATGATAATAACAATGGTGCCTCTTGGGTCTGGGAGCATGGCTGCCCAGGAAAGCACCCCACGGTGAACTCGATCACTCATCAACAATGGGACATCCTACCTTCTGGGAAGATCAGGATGTCCCATCCGCCTCACTCATTGTCTATGCACTCTCGGGTGAAACCAACGCACAGATAGCATCAATTAATCCCATATCCAGGACTAAAGGATATCAAGGCTGGGCAGCTGCGCCAACCACTTTTGTATATTTCACCCCCACTGGACAATACCAGGCCAGCTTGAGGAATCTCTGGATTATTACCGGCTATCGGACAAACCATTAAGTTACATTTAATCCACCCATTTTTTCCTCTTGGTTCTTTGTTTCCAGCTTGTACTGCCTCCTCAATTCTCATTGGCTTCGAAGCCGAAGCAACGCTGGCTTCCCCATTGGCCAAGGCGCGCCTAAGCCGGCCGCACCTCCCTCCAGCTGATGACTCCAGGCAATCAGCATGAAGCCGGCAAGGGGGCAGGGGGTGGGAAGTTTGAATTTGACAGTTTTGTATTTTCTATAAAATGTACTCCTTTCTGCCCTGCCAAGCATGTCGACTTTGGCAAGGGATTGCGGTTTGACATCTGTACCAGCTGGGACGAAATAAAGACAACTCGGTGGATTTTCTTCAACTTGGTGAGACTTTTATTGGGAAAAATCAGGGAAAAATCTTGGGTGCTTCTTTTGTCTCACCAGGGCTACGGACTCTTGTTGGTGAGTCGGATTGGTCTCTGCCTCCTGGCAAAGACCCCTAAATTCTTGCTCGTTATCAGATCCACTATGCCTGGCGAGACAATAAGCACCAATAAAAGTTTACCTATTTCCCAATAAATCTCACAAGGATGAAGCAAGGCCACCAAGGTTTATTTTCTATTCCAGCTGGAAAGGATGATGACCGCAGTAATCTGCAAAGGAGCTGACATAACTCTTGAGCAGGAAATTACAGAATATATAGAGTTGTCAAATTCAAATTTCCCATGCCCACCCCTCTGGGCCAGCTTCGTTGTGATTGGATGTGATGTCAGCGAGCCAGGAGGAGCGGCCAGGGGCTGATGCCTTATCCAATGAGAGCCTGAGGCCTGCTTCGGCCGCTCAACCAATGAGGTGGAAGGAGGCGGGCAGCAGAGAAATCAGTGAAAAAGTGGCTTGATGATAGGATTATGAATGACCCTTTCTGGATCCCAAATGCCAAGTGATTAAAGATGATTGCTGTAAGCCCTCAAGCCCCAACTTGACTATTGATACAGAGGTCTGAAATAACATTTTTGTCTGGCCCCTCCATTGTCAAATGTTCGGAGATACTGGTTTCCTTGATAGGATCTTTCAGACTCATTCTTCTGGGAAGGGGAATAGCTTTGGGACCTGCCTACCTTCGTGACCGTAGCTCCCTCCATGAACCTTTGTGTCAAATGATAACCATGTCTATGGGTCCCCAGTATCCAGGTGGCCTAGTCAAAAAGACCCTCCGAAGCCCAAGGAAAGGGGCCATTTGTCTATTGGCCATACTTTCTGCAAAGTCCATTGTTTAAGGATGAAGACCCAGGAAGTTTTGCAATACCTGAGTCCTGAGATGCTGGTCATAGTTCATGAAGAGGTTACCTTACTTGATATTTTATATACATACATATAATACATGGGGATATAGGGCATATACAGAGTTCATATAGGGAAAAGGGGGGTGCAGGATTGGGGAAAGATCTGTCTTGGTCACCCAGAGTTCATATAGGAAGGAACAAAGTTCATAAAAGCACTAAGCAGCCTAAGTCCATTCACAAAACTGGAATCCAATTCATAAAAATGATCAGATTGGCCTGATGCTGGCCTGGGTTTTAGGGGTGACACATGAGGAATTTCTGAGGTCTGCAGACACCATCAGGCACAATTTGAGGTGACACACACATGAAGAAAAGAAGGGGAGCACAGACACCACTGTCACGCAGGACCACAAAAAGAATCTTGGGTTCCCACATGGGAATTTTGGGTGGGAAAGATTGGCCTTTTGTGACAGGGTTCCAGTAAATATAGCAGTTACCTTTGTTATAGATATCTATATAAATAAAAATGTAATGTTGGTTTGTGGGATTAGCAGAACTCAAAAACCACTGGGGGAATTGACACCAAATTTGGACACAAGACACCTAATAACCTAATGTATGTCCTTCACTCAAAAAAATTGATTTTGTCATTTGGGAGTTGCAGTTGCTGGGATTTATAGTTCACCTACAATCGAAGGGCATTCTGAACTCCACCAATGATGGAATTGAACCAAACTTGACACACAGTTCTCCCATGACCAACAGAAAATACAGGAAGGGTTTGGTGGGCAGTGTCCGTTGGTTTTGGAGTTGTAGTTCACCTACATCCAGAGATCACTGTGAACTCAAACAATGATGGATCTGGACCAAACTCTACACGAATACTCAATATGTCCAAATGTGAACACTGGTGGAGTTTGGGGAAAATAGACCTTGACATTTGGGAGTTGTAGTTGCTGGGATTTATAGTTCACCTACTATCACAGAGCATTCCGAACTCCACCAATGATGGGATTGAACCAAACTTGGCACACGGTTCTCCCATGACCAACAGAAAATACTAGAAGGGTTTGGTGGACATTGACCTTGAGTTTGGGAGTTGTAGTTCACCTACATCCAGATATCACTATGGACTCAAACAATGATGGATCTGGACCAAACTCTACATGGATACTCCATATGCCCAAATGTGAACACTGGTGGAGTTTGGGGAAAAAAGAATCTTGACATTTGGGAGTTGTAGCTGCTAGGATTTATAGTTCACCTACAATCTCAGAGCATTCTGAACCCCACCAACGATAGAATTGGGCCAAACCTCCCAAAGAGAACCCCCATGTGGGCCACAGCAACGCGTGGCAGCGGTAGTATGAAATATAGGGCATAAATCTTGATTAAACGTACACACCATTTAACATGTTGTGGTTGTCCTTCTGCAGATTGGCCAAAACTTAACTCTTATCATATCATTCCAGCCTGAGGTCCTTGGCAAAACTATGAATTCCCTGATTATAAACTATCTTTTTTTGGGGGGGGGGGGTCATGTTCGGCAACACATTCAGGTCTTGGAAGTAGGTAGTTTGTCCTAGAAGTATATAGTGCATAGCTATCAGGCCCTAGAAGTATATAGTTCACAACATTCAGGTAAACATACCAGATAGCGATCCCAGTTACATTTTACCTGTTCACGTCAGCATATTTTCAATTTTAATTTATTACATTTGGCCTGGCCATTTTTAATATGTCATTATTAATTGTTTTTGTTATATGATTTATATGATTTGTATTTTATTGATTGTTTATTAATGTTTTGTTTTTGATGTTGTTTGATGTACTTCGGGCTTGGCCTCATGTAAGCCGCACCGAGTCCCTTGGGGAAATAGTAGTGGGGTACAAATAAAGATGATGATGACGATTATTATTATTGCGATGGCATGCCCAGATGGATTGCTGTGCCATACGAGGCCTAATGAAAAGGGTCCTTAGGTGTTCTATCATGGCATCATGATCCCAATGGGTGCTCTTGTGGAACCAATTGGCAACTCGCCGCATCAAGGAATCAGTGAGCAGCAAATGTCCATGGCTGTCCTTCCACCAGCCCCCCTCCTCTGTCAGGCCCTCTTTCTTGGCAAACTCAATGTCCTGGGCACTGTACAGAGGCAGAGCTGGGACAGAGGTGTCTGGGATTAGTGCCCTGTGGAAGGTGGGCTCCCTGTTGGCTGCTGCCTTGGCAGCTGCATCGACTCTGCGATTCGCTCTTGTGGCATCCAGATCTCCAATCTGGTGCCCTCTAGAGTGGATGACAGCAACAGCAGCTGGCTTGCTGACAGCGTACAGCAATCTCAGGATCTCCTATTAGTGTTTGACAGGGCAACAGAAAGTATTGTTCATATAAATGGCCAATGGCTAGGAATAGCAAAGGGGAAAATAGGCTTTCCAAGACAGCTGCATGATATCCCTTGACTGGGTTGGCAAATGTCACGTATTGTCCAAGCAGTGACAAAAGGGAAGGCTGGACCCTCCGGCTCCTGTTATCCCCAGGGTCACCAGTCTGTATGGGTTCCATTAAGGTAGATGGTTAATGCAATCAGGAAGCCTGTTAAGATGTTGGCAGATCGTCCCTGTACAGGAAAATGCGGGCAAAGGTGATTGCAAGACTTCAGTTAGTGACTTTTCCAATAATTTCATAAAGTGATACAAAAGCAGAAACAAGATGATACACATACACATGAGGGGCTGTGGTTGCAGGGGTCCCCAATTCTGGAGGCCTGGTCCCCACAMGTCAGGGGTAGACATACAGATCAGGGTCCGTGTGGACTTTGAGGGACTTTGATCTCCCTCACATCACCCATGGGGGAAAAAAAATAAGCCAATAGTAAGGAAAACCTGGGAAGGGTGACATGCACATGGGGGGGGGGGGGTCCTAGGAGTCTTGGTGGCTTCTGGGGACTTTGGGGCTCTCACAACCTCTGAGGATGGTGGCCATAGATGTGGGTGAAACACAGTATTTTTCTGTTGGTTGTGGGGATTCTGCGTGGCAAGCTTGCCCCAATTTTCTCGTTGGTGGGGTTCCTAATGCTCTGTGATTGTAGGTGAACTATAAATCCCAGCAACTACAACTCCCAAATGTCAAGCTCTATTTCCCCCAAATTCAACCACTGTTCACATTTGGGCATATTGAGTATTTGTGCCAATATTTGGTCCAGATCCATCATAGTTTGAGCCCACAGTGCTCTCTGGTGGTTGGTGTACTATAACTCCCAAACTCAACGTCAATACCCACCAAACCCTTCCAGTATTTTCTGTAGGTCATGTGTGCCAAGGCTGGTTCAATTCCATCATTAGTGGAGTTCAGAATTCTCTTTGATTGTAGGCGAACTATAAATCCCAGCAACTACAACTCCCAAGTGACAAAATCAATCCCCTCAACCCCACGTATTGGGTATTTGTGCCCAGTTTGGTCCAGCGGATGAAAATACATTCTGCATGTTGGATATTTACATTACAATACATAACAGTAGCCAAATTACAGTTATAAAGTAGCAATGAAAATATTGTTATGGTTGGGGGTCACCACAACATGACAAACTGGATTAAGGGGTCGCGGCACTAGGAAGGTTGAGAAACACTGCTATAGAGGATGGAGCAGCCCCTTGGGCCTTCCTCCCTCTCACCACTGTATCCTTCCTTCTCTGTCTCCTTCCATACCTCCCTCTTTCTCCTTCCCTTTTCTTTCCTTCCTTCTCCCTTCCCTCCCTCCATTCTCTTCCACCCTTCCTTCTCTACCTTCCTCTTTCCTTTTGTTTTCCCTTTCCTCTCTTCCATCCTTCCTCCCTATTTTCTTTTCTTCTTTCTCCCTTCCCTCCCTCCATTCTCTCCTACCCTTTCATCTTTCTTACCCCTTTCCTTCCATTCTCCTCCCTCCCCTTTGTCTTTCCTCCCTTCTCCATTCACTTCTTTATCCTTCCTTGTCCTCCCTCCCTCCCTTTCTTCCATCCTTCCTTCCCTTTCCCCCTGAGCCCGAGCGCATATCACCCCCTCCCTCCATTCTCCCCGATTGCTTCAAAAGCGGTGCCATTCTTCTCCGGGGAGAATTCTAAGACTAATGGCTATCTCGGTTTCACTCCACTAACCCCTCCGCCCCGGGAATAACCATTTTTGCCTCAAAGACCTCAACATGGAGCCCAGCTGGCTCCCCGATGACACCGCATTGCTGCCACCATTTTGTGGATGTCCAGAGAGCTTGCCAATCCAGGGAAACTGTCGTGGTCACCCCTTCGAATCCCCAAGATGTCAGCGGGCCGTTTTGGTTCTTGTTCCAAAAGGATCTGCAGTTTTCTTCATTTGTCAACATGGATCCCGACCTCCAGCGCTGGCAGTTGCCTCATAGGAACTCTGAGGACTCTGGAACACTTTTCCCAACTTGCCCCCATGGATTTTACAACTTTTTATCAACTTTTGCCAACTTTTAAGAACTTCTAAAAATTTTCTGGAACTTTTCCCCCAAGCCCCATAGACTCCCATTTATGATTTTGGGACTATGTGATTTCATGACATTGGACTCTTTATGAACTTTGGTGGGTTATACGAATTTCCTTCCCCCCCCCCCTTTTCCCTGTGCATGACTTATGAACCCCATATATGCATCTATGTATAAAAATATGGAAAGCCACCTTTTCATGACCCCAGCATGACAAACCCTTGGGAAATTCTTTCCTATTTCCTGAGATGAATTCCCCATTGACTTAAGGACTATTATTGCATGATAATAACAATGGTGCGCCTTGGGTCTCGGAGCACGGCCACCCAGGAAGGCACCCCATGGTGAACCTGGTCACTCATCAACAAGGAAGATCAAGATGTCCCATCCGCCTCACTCATTGTCCTTGGCCCCTCGGCTGAAACCAACACACAGATAGCATCAACTAATCTCATACCCAGGACTGAAGTTCATCAAGGCTGGGCAGCTGCGCCAGCCACCTTTGTGTATTTCACCCCCACTGGACAATACCAGGCCAGCTTGAGGAATCTCCGGATTATCGCCGGCCATCGGACAAACCATTAAGTTCCATTTAATTCATTCATTTTCCTCTCGGTTCATTGTTTTCCCGCTTGTACCGCCTCCTCGATTTCCATTGGCTCAAAAGCCAAAACGGTGCTGGCTTCTCCATTGGTTGAGGCGCGCCTAGGCCAGCCGCGCCTCCCTACGGCTGATGACTCCAGCCAATCAGCGCGAAGCCGGCAAAGGGGCGGGAAGTTTAAATCTGACACTCTGTACTTCCTATAAAATGTACCCTTTTCTGCCTTGCCAAACATGTCAACTTTGGCAAGGGATTGCGGTTTGACATCCGTACCAGCTGGGATGAAATAAAGACAACTCGGTGGCTTTTCTTCATTTTGGTGAGACTTTTATTTGGGAAAATTAGGGGAAAATCTTGGGTGCTTCTCTTGTCTCGCCTGGGCTCCGGACTCTCGTTGCTGAGTCTGATTGGTCTTTGCCTCCTAATTTCTTGCTCGATATAAATCCCACCCTACAGATGCTCATCCAACTTCCTGTTTATAGACTTCCATGGAAGCCTAGATTAGCAAGGGGCTCCTAAAGGCCATCCAGTCCAACCCCTTCTGCAAGACAAGGAAGACACACTCCAATCCCACCCTACAGATGCTCCTCCAACTTCTTGTTTATAGACTTCCATAGAATCCTAGATTAGTAAGGGGCTCCTAAAGGCCATCCAGTCCAACCCCCTTCTGCAAGACAAGGAAGACACAATCCAATCCCTCCTGACAGATGCTCACCTAACTTCTTGTTTATAGACTCCCATTGAATCCTAGATTAGAAAGGGACTCCTAAAGGCCATTCAATCCAACCCCTTCTGCAAGAAAAAAAGAAACAATCCCATCCCTCCTGAGAGATTCACATCTAACCCCTTATTTATAGACTTCCATTGAATCCTAGATTAAAAAGGAACTCCTAAAGACCATCCAGTTCAACCCCTTCTGCCAGACACAATCCAATCCCTTCTGACAGATGCTCATCCAACTTCTTGTTTACAGTCTTCCACTGAATCCTAGATTAGAAAGGTACTCCTAAAGGTCATCCAATCCAACCCTTTCTGCAAGACAAGGAATACACAATCCCATCCCTCCCGATAGATGCTCATCCAACTTCTTGTTTATAGATTTCCATAGAATCCTAGAAAGGGACTCCTAAAGGCCATCCAGTCCAACCCCTTCTGCCAGACACAATCCGATCCCTTCTAACAGATGCTCATCCAACTTCTTGTTTATAGACTTCCAGTGAATCGTAGATTAGAACGGGACACCTAAAGGCCATCCAATCCAACCACTTCTGCAAGACAAAGGAAGACACAATCCCATCCCTCCTGACAGGTGCTCATCCAACCTCTTGTTTATAGACTTCCACAGAATTCTAGATTAGAACGGGAATCCTGAAAGGCCATCCAATCCAACCCCCCTTCAGCCAGACAAGGAAGACACAATCCGATCCTTCCCGGAAGAGGGCCATCCAGCTTCTGTTTGGAGGCCGAGGAAGGCTCTGGATGACTAATGTTTCCTCTTCATCCATGCCAAGCTTACAAAAGAAAGGAAACAGAAGCTAGAGGCGCAGGAAGCGGCCCACAAAAAGTGTCACAGGGAGAGGTCAAACCCGCCCTATATCGATCCAAGAAAAATCTGTTCCTGGCTTGAACTTGTTATTTCCTGTTTCCCGCAATAACAAAGTTTTGCCACTTTAACCAGCTTTCCCCATGTTTTTATGATAGAGCCAATTAGGAAATTGATAACCCAGGAACAATAGTGTAATAATAATAATAATAATAATAATAATAATAATAATAATAATGCAGTGCCTAAAGACCTTGGCCTGCACTTAAGCACAATCAGCGCTGACAAAATCACCATCTGTCAGCTGAAAAGGGCCACCCTACTAGGATCTGCACGCATTATTCGCCGATACATCACACAGTCCTAGACATTTGGGAAGTGTCCAATGTGTGATCCAATACAACAGCCAGCAGAGTGATCTTATTTACTGTGTACTAATCTTGTTGTGTTTCAACAGATCTGGACCAAACTTGGCACACAGACCCAACATGCCCAACTGTGAATTCAGGCGGACTTTGGGGATGATTGCCCTCGGAATCCAGAGATACTGTGACCCCCACCGACAATGGACCAGGACCAAACCTGGCACAGAGAAGACCCATGATGAAATAAATGTATTGAAGGGGTTTGTCAGAATTCACCTTGATTTTGGGCATTATAGTTCACCTGCATTCAGAGAAACAGTGACCCCCACACTTGGCAATAGAGAACCCATGTGACCAACTGAACAAACTGACCTTGATTTTTGGAGTTGTAGTTCATCTGCATCCAGAGAGCACTGAACTCAGCTGACGCTAGATCTGGGCCAAACTTGGCACACAGACCCAACACGGCCAGCTGTGCATACAAGCTTGGTTTGGGAAGGATTGACCCACAATTCTGGGAATGGTAGTTCACTCACATTCTTATGTATTTTCTAATGGGAACATTCATAAACAACGAAATCAAAGAATGGCTTTTCCCCCTAATAAATATTAGAATGCCAATAAATATAAATAAATAGTATTTATATCATATTTATATTTATATATAATGATATATTATTATATATAACATTTTATATATTTATATAATAATAATAATAATAATAATAATAATAATAATAAACTTTATTTATATCCTACCCTTTTCCCTCACAAAGAGACTCAAAGCGGCTTTCAACAGTGAAACAATAATGAAGATATATTGCCTTGTAAGGAATTTCCAAAAAAACCCCCCAAAAAACCCATTGGCATTTTTATTTTATTTTTTTGCATATGATATTGGGGGGGGGGGGGGGGGGGGGTAGTAGCTGATGGCACTATTGCTGTTAGCTAGAGGGAAACAGTTCTAGTTAGGAATAGTTTGCATGGATTTTCCTTTGAAAGTGCCTTAAACTCGACTGAATAGTAAAATATGTTATACTTACTTTGTACAAGTTGCCATCTACATACAGATCAAGACATGTTTCATTATTTCTGAACGTATATTTTCTGATTATATATGAGATTGTGTCAAAAAAAGGGGAAAAAACAGTGAAATGCAGTATAAAATCAGCAGCAATCAAATACCAAACATAATAAGCAATTACTAAAGCAAACATAAATAAACATATATCTCTGTCTATCTAAACAGAATACAGAATGTCTATTGGAATTTTTATTTTATTTTATTTATTATTGTTTTATTATTATTTTGATGTCATTTTGATAATGTTGTTGTTGCCTGTTGTATATGTTTTGATTTTATTGCTGTATTATGTTGTCCGGGCTTGGCCCCATGTAAGCCGCTCCGAGTCCCCATCGGGGAGATGGTGGTGGGGTAGAAATAAAGATTATTATTATTATTATTATTATTATTATTATTATTATTATTATTAAAATTAGAAAGGGTCCCCAAAGGTCATCCAGTCCAACCCACTCCCTGCAGGCAGGAAAAAGAGCAATCCAATCCTTCCCGACAGATGGACATCCACCTTTTCATAGAATCATAGAATCAAAGAGTTGGAAGAGACCTCATGGGCCATCCAGTCCAACCCCATTCTGCCAAGAAGCAGGAATATTGCATTCAAATCACCCCTGACAGATGGCCATCCAGCCTCTGTTTAAAAGCTTCCAAAGAAGGAGCCTCCACCACACTCCGGGGCAGAGAGTTCCACTGCTGAACGGCTCTCACAGTCAGGAAGTTCTTCCTCATGTTCAGATGGAATCTCCTTTCTTGTAGTCTGAAGCCATTGTTCCGCGTCCTAGTCTCCAGGGAAGCAGAAAACAAGCTTGCTCCCTCCTCCCTGTGACTTCCTCTCACATATTTATACATGGCTATCATATCTCCTCTCAGCCTTCTCTTCTTCAGGCTAAACATGCCCAGCTCCTTAAGCCGCTCCTCATAGGGCTTGTTCTCCAGACCCTTGATCATTTTAGTCGCCCCCTCTGGACACATTCCAGCTTGTTAATATCTCTCTTCAATTGTGGTGCCCAGAATTGGATACAATATTCCAGGTGTGATCTAATTTTCTTGTGGATGTATCTCTATGCATTGCAGAGGGTTTTGCATCACGGTTGGAGGCTGAGAGAGTGTGACCCTTCTTTCCTCCCAACTCAAAGTCCAAATACAAACACGGGCTACAAATAAAGTTGTGTATTTATTTAGCATTTATTTATTTTATTTTTCTTATTTTATTTTCCTATTTTCTTATTTTTTCTTATTTTATTCATTTATTTTCTCATTTATTTATTTATTTATCTGAGGCTGAGAGTATGTGACTTGACGAAGGCTTGAGCCTGGATTCGAACCTGGGTCTCTTATGGTTACTGACTTTGCCTTATTTTCCTTTGCCTCTCCGATTCCATCCCCAAACCCCGCCCCCTTTTGTTGCTGCCTTCCCATTGGCCACTTCGTAGGAGGCCCTGCGCCGCGATTGGCCCCCTCAGCTGTCATTCCATCCCCCCTCCCCTTTCTCTTTGAATTTGAAACTTTATCTCTCTCTCTTTCAGAGTCTTAAAAGCGTCAAGTTTCAACCTTGGATCCCAGGAGGGATTCCGATAGCAAAGCCCCCACGCCCCCCAAGGAAGAAAAGAAGGGATACAAAGCCATTACTTTAAAGCTATACAATTTTTCATTTTGCAAGGAAAAGGCTCCGAATTTTGTATTTGCAAGAAAAAAAAAAGATTTAGGGGTTGAATATATATACTGCAAGGCCCCGATCTTTGGATGCAGAACATACAGGTAAGAAAAGGAAGGAAAAAGGGATCCAGAGGGCAGAAAAGGATTGCACGGACTTGATCTCAGCGGGGAAAAATGTGCCGAGCTCATGCTTTTCTGCACTGAATTTTCTGCCCTTGTTTTAGTCGGAAGACGAGAAATGGGAGGACCTTCCAAAGAAAGGAGAAAATAATACAATGCTGTTATTTGCTATCGGAGCAGAAAACAATAGTCTCTTCCCCTCTGCTTCCTTCTTTCTTTCCCCCTTCTTCATTCTTTCCTTCCTTTTCCCTCCTTTAATCTTTCTGTACTTTGCTTCTTTCCCTTCTTCCTTCTTGATTCTTTTCCCCTCCTCCCTTTCCTCTTCATCACTCTTCTTCTCTTTCCTCCCTTCTTCTCTTCCCTTCTCCTTTTCTTCTTCCTTCTTTCTTTCCCTCTTCTCCATTCTTTTCTTCCTTTTCCCGTTCATCTTTCTGTACTTTGCTTCTTTCCTTTCTTCCTTCTTCATTATTCTCTTCCTCTCTTTCCTCCTTCCTTTCTTTCCCCCCTTTCATCTTTCTGTACTTTCCTTCTTTCCCTTCTTCCTTCTTGATTCTCTTCCCCTCCTACCTTTCCTCTTCATCACTCTTCTTCTCTTTCCTCCCTTCTTCTCTTCCCTTCCCTTCTTCTTTTCTTCTTCCTCCTTTCTTTCCCCCTTCTCCATTCTTTTCTTCCTTTTCCCGTTCATCTTTCTGTACTCTGCTTCTTTTTCTTCCTTCTTCATCATTCTCTTCCTCTCTTTTCTCCTTCCCTTCTTCCTTTCTTCCCCCCTTTCATCTTTCTGTACTTTGCTTCTTTCTCTTCTTCCTTCTTGATTCTCTTCCTCTCCTCCCTTTCGTCTTCATCACTCTTCTTCTCTTTCCTTCCCCTCTTCTTTTCTTCTTCCTCCTTTCTTTCCCCCTTCTCCATTCTTTTCTTTTCCCCCATTCATCTTTCTGTTCTTTACTTCTTTCCTTTCTTCCTTCTTGATCATTCTCTTCCTCTCTTTCCTCCTTCCCTTCTTCTTCCTTTCTTTCCCCTTCTTCATTCTTTTCTTCCCATTTCATCTTTCTGTACTTTGCTTCTTTCCCTTCTTCCTTCTTGATTCTCTTCCCCTCCTCCCTTTCCTCTTCATTTCTCTCTTCTTCTCTTTCCTCACTTCTTCTTTTCTTCTTCCTCCTTTCCTTCCCCTTCCATTCTTTTCCCTCCTTTAATCTTTCTGTACTTTGCTTCTTTCCCTTCTTCCTTCTTGATTCTTTTCCCCTCCTCCCTTTCCTCTTCATCACTCTTCTTCTCTTTCCTCCCTTCTTTCCTTCCCTTCCTCTTTTCTTCCTCCTCCTTTCTTTCCCCCTTTTCCATTCTTTTCTTCCGTTTCCCGTTCATCTTTCTGTACTTTGCTTCTGTCCTTTCTTCCTTCTTCATCATCATTTTCTTCCTCTCTTTCCTTCTTCCCTTCTTCTTCCTTTCTTTCCTGTTCTTCATTCTTTTCTTCCCTTTTCATCTTTCTGTACTTTGCTTCTTTCCCTTCTTCCTTCTTGATTCTCTTCCCCTCCTCCCTTTCCTCTTCATCACTCTTCTTCTCTTTCCTCCCTTCTTCTCTTCCCTTCTTTTCTTCCTTTCCCCGTTCATCTTTCTGTACTTTGCTTCTTTCCCTTCTTGCTTCTTCATCATTCTCTTCCTCTTTCCTTCTTCCCTTCTTCTTCCTCCCTTTTGTTCTTCCTTTCTTCTTGCTTCTCCTCCTTTCTTTCCCTTCTTCATTCATTCCTTTTCACTCCTTCTTTCTGAGCTTTGCTTCTTTCCCTTCTCCCTTCTTGATTCTCTTCCTCTCCTCCCTTTCCTCTTCTTCATCATTCTCTTCCTCTTTCCTTCTTCGTTTCCTTTTGCTTCCTCCTCCTTTCTGGTTCTTCATTCTTTTCCTCCTTTTTCCGTTCATCTGTCTGTAGTTTGCTTCTTTCCCTCTTCTTTTCCCCTCCTCTCTTTCCTCTTCACCGTTTTTTCCTCTTTCCTCCTTCTCTTCTTCCTTTCTTTTTCCTCCTTTCTTTTCCCTTCTTCATTCTTTTCTTCCTTTCTCCGTTCATCTTTCTATACTTCGCTTCTTTCCCTTCTATTTCTAGTTTCTCTTCCCCTCCTCCCTTTCCTCTTCATCATTCTTTTCCTCTTTCCTCCTTCCCTTCATCTCTTCCTACTTCATTTCCTCTCTTGACTTTGCTCTTTCTTCTTCCTTCTCTTCTTCTCTCCTTCTCTTCTTCTTCCTTTCCTTTCTCCTTTCCCACTCTTCCTATTCTTATTCTTGCTCTTTCCCTTCTTTTCCCTTCTATTCTTTTCTTCCTCTGATTTCCTTCTTTTCCCCCTTCTTCCACTGCCAAGCTTGTATGTAAGTCATTGTACTTGTTATTAATGTTAACTTCCATAGTATATTATTATTATTATTATTATTATTATTATTATTATTATCATCATCATCATCATCATCATCATCTTCGTCATCATCAGGTAGTCTCTGATATTATTATTATTATTATTATTATTATTATTATTATTATTATTATATCATTTCTTGTAAAGCCAGAATCAAGTAAGCAAGGTAAAAATAAAGAAAATTATAAGAAAGAATAAGTGGGTACAGTGAATAATAATAATAATAACAATAATAATAATAATATTTCAAGCCTATTTATTTATTTACAGTATTTATAGTCCATCCTTCTCATGCTGAAGGGGGCTCAGAGAGAATCACAGAACACATACACAGCAAACATTCAATGCCGTTTACAAACTGACAGATAGACAACTGTACATAGAGGTATATATAGGCTTGCCCATCTTCAGCATCTTGGAGGCTGTGCTCAGTTCCAGCCACAGGGGGGAGGAGCTGTCCCTCCATTTTCCTTGCCAAAGAGTTTTGTTCGTAAACTTCCTCCTTGATTGAATCGCATTTTTCTGGCATTTCCTTATGAGTGCCTTAAATACTTCCTCGCTTTAAAGCAGTACCTATTTATCTACTCACATTGCTGTTTTCAAAACTGCTAGGTAGGCAGAAGCTGGGCTAAAAGCCAGGAGCTCACCCTGACCCGGGCTTCGAACTGTCAAACTTTTGGTTGGCAAGATTTACTGCAGCTCATGGTTAACCTGCTGTGCTAAAGCCCGGCTCTATAATAATAATGATGATGATAATGATGATGATGATGATGATGATGAAAGGGAAATAATAATAGTAATAATAATAATATTTCAAGCCCAGAAGCAAGGATTTGGGACACCTCGTGAGCAGAAAGGACTTATTAAGGTAAAAGTAAAAGTTTCCCCTGACATTAAGTCTAGTCGTGTCCGACTCTGGGGGGTGGTGCTCATCTCCATTTCTAAGCCAAAGAGTCGGCGTTGTCCATAGGTTATGTGGCTAGCATGACTACATGGAGTGCCGTTACCTTCCTGCAAACGTGGTACCTATTGATCTACTCACATTTGCATGTTTTTGAACTGCTAGCTTGGCAGAAGCTGGGGCTAACAGCGAGAGCTCACCCCGCTCCCCGGATTTGAACCGCCAACCTTTTGGTCAGCAGCTCAGGACTTATTAGAAAGGCTAATAATAATAATAATAATAATAATAATAATAATAATAATATTCAAGCCCAGAAGCAAGGACTTGGGACACATCATGAGCAGAAAGGATCTATTAGAAATGGAAATAATAATAATAATAATAATAATAATAATAATAATAATAATCCTTGTGGCTCAAGGTGGGTTACAGAATAATTACAACACATAAACATGCCGATGATGCCCAACTCTTGATCATGCCTTTCCACCGAAAGCCAAGGATGCCATCCTGCCCCAAAACCAGTGCCTGTCGTCAGTGATGGACTGGATGAGGGCTAATAAGTTTCCCTGTCCAAACGTATTCTCCCCTATGAACCATCAAGAGTATTAAGATCGTCTGGAAAGGCCCTGCTCTCGGTCCCACCACCTTCGCAGTTGCGTCTAGTGGGAACGAGAGCCAGGGCCTTTTCTGTGATGGCTCCTCGGCTATGGAATTCCCTCCCGAATGAAATTAGATCTGCCCTCTCCCTCCTGACCTTTAGGAAGCTAGCGAAAACTTGGCTGTGGAACAAAGCTTTTGCGGAATGATATCTGAGACCGGCAATTGACCAAAGTTACTGACTACAATATATGGACTGAATATACGGACTCAGTTGACATGATTTTATCTTGGCGAATGGCTGTTATGTAATTTATCCTATACTAGCCGTCCCCTGCCACGCGTTGCTGTGGCCCACCTGGGGGTTCTGTGTGGGAGGTTTGGCCCAATTCTATCGTTGGTGGGACTCAGAAGGCTCTGTGATTGTAGGTGAACTATAAATCCCATCAACTACAACTCCCTAATGTCAAGATTCCATTTCCCCCAAACTCTACCAGTGTTCACATCTGGACATATTCAATATTCGTGTAGAGTTTGGTCCAGATCCATAATTGTTTCAGTCCACAGTGATCTAGGGATGTAGGTGAACTACAACTCCAAAACTAAATGACACTGCCCACCAAACCCTTCCTGTATTTTCTGTTGGTCATGGGAGAACTGTGTGCCAAGTTTGGTTCAATTCCATCGTTGGTGGGGTTCAGAATGCTCTTTGACTGTAGGTGAACTATACATCCTAGCAACTACAACTCCCAAATGACAAAATCAATTTTTTTGAGTGAAGGACATACATTGGGTTGTTAGGTGTCTTGTGTCCAAATTTGGTGTCAATTCCCCCAGTGGTTTTTGAGTTCTGTTAATCCCACAAACGAACATTACATTTTTATTTATATAGATGTATTGGTTAATTTTAATGTTGATGTATGATATTTTAGATTTTAGTGTTAGCATTGAATTTTTTGCTGTTAGCCGGTCTGAGTCCCTCTACGGAGGTAGAGAAGATCGGGATATAAAAGTTTTAAATAAATAAATAAGTTGGAGATAAATCCAGACAAATTTGAGGTAGTCTTGGTTCAGTTGGAAGGTGAAC